TTTTTTTTGAGATGGAGTTTCGTTCTTGTTACCCGGGCTGGAGTGCAGTGGTGCAATCTTGGCTCACTGCAGCCTCTGCCTCCCATGTTCAAGCGATTCTCCTGCCTCAGCCTCCTGAGTAGCTGCAATTACAGGCGTGCATCACCATGCCTGGCTAATTGTGTATTTTTAGTAGTGATGGAGTTTCGCCATGTTGGCCAGACTGGTCTTGAACTCCTGGCCTCAAGTGATCTGCCCGCCTCGGCCTCCCAAAGTGCTGGGATTACAGGCATGGGCCACCGTGCCTGGTCAAGCAGTGCTGGCTCTTAATAGTGCCACAGGGCACCAGTGAGTTGGCTGTGGATGTGACCTCTTTTCACTCAACCTCCACACAGTCAATTTATTTAGCTATCATCATATACAAGGCTCAGATCTACATCCTGGGTGGAACAGAGCAGTGTTAGAGGCAGCCTGTGCCTTCAAGAGTTATGCATTGCAAGGGGAGTAGACTTGAAACAAATAGCTATATGACAAGCAGAATGGGACAGGTACCAGGAAAAAGACAAGAGTAGCACCTTGGTGATGCAGAAACAGCCTGGGAGTTCCTCGAATATTAAACACAGAGTGACCCCATGACCCAGCAATTCCACTCCTAGGTATAAATCCAAGAGAACTGAAAACCTACGTTCATACAGCAACTCACACATCAATGTTTGCAGCAGCATTATCCATAACAGCCGAAAAGTGAAGACAACACACATAAATGTCTATTGGCTGATGAATGGATAAAGTGTGGTGTTGTCTATATGAGGGAATATTATTCACCCGTGAAAGGGAAGGTGGTACTGCCACGTGCTACAATGTGGATGAATCTTGAAAACATCAGGCTGAGTGAAAGACGCCAGACACAAAAGGCCACGTATTCCAATGTTCCAGTTATATGGGATGTGCAGAATAAGCAAATCTAGAGAGACAGAGCGGAGATTAGTGGTTGCCAGGGGCTCGGATGTGTGAGAAACAGTGAGTCGGTGCTAATGGGTATGGGGTTTTAGGGGTGAGGAAATATTCTGCAATTAGTCATTGCTGCATGAGCATGTCGTAGGTAAACTATTACCAGCGATCCTTTCATCTAAGGGCACAGGGCACCTCCTGGCGAGGAGGAAAGGCCAGGATTGTCCTAGCAAATGCTGCTGGTAGGAAGCAGCACACCTCAAAACCCAGGCTAGGGTTACAATCCACACCCTCCTAAGTGAGGATGCCTGGGCCTTCCTGCTCCATTCCAGAGCTCCCGTGGCGACCGCAGACATTTACAAGGCCCTGACCACCTCTGAGCTGACTGGTGTGGGGGGCTCAGAGCTCCAAAATCACCTGTGATCATCCCCTGAGAGGTGCGTGACCATTGCAGTGTGTTTTGAAAATATTTCTCACCTAAAATATTTGGTACTTTCATATATAAGGCAGCTGCTCTGGCAAATTGTTTCTCAGACCTTGTTTCCTAAAGGAGAAAAAAATGATTTCTCATTTTACTTTTTTAGACTGTTTCTTTGAATTCTAAAACACATGATTTCTTGTAACAAGCCTGGTACCGGCAGGGACTTCCCGGGGCAGAGGACAGGGACTAGGGATGCAATCAACGTAGTGCCCAGGTGGGTGGAGGCAGCAGAGAGATGGAGATCCCTGGGTAATGCTGCTTTTTCGCATCATAGAGAGGAAGCTGATTGATGTCTGGAGGTGCTCTTCACACCAAGTAGATTTTTTTTTTTTTTCTGATACCTAGAGGGGAAGGAACATCTCATTCTACCCGGGGCGGGCAGGAAGATTTCCTGAGGCAGAAAACAGTCTGGCTGGGCTTTATGAGATAAAAGAAAAGTTTGCCGGCTTGGTGCGGTGGCTCATGCCTGTAATCTCAGCCTTTAGGAGGCCAAGGCGGGCGGATCACAAGGTCAAGAGATCGAGACCATCCTGGCCAACATGACGAAACCCGGTCTCTGCTAAAAATACAAAAATTAGCTGAGCGTGGTGGTGGGCGCCTGTAGTCCTAGCTACTTGGCAGGCTGAGGCAGGAGAATCGCTTGAACTCGGGAGGTGGAAGTTGCAGTGAGCCAAGATCGCGCCACTGTACTTCAGCCTGGTGACAGAGTGAGATTCCGTCTCAAAACAAAAACAAAACTTAGCCGGGTGTAGTGGCGCGCACCTGTAATCCCAGCTACTCGGGATGGTGAGGCAGGAGAATCACTTGAACCCAGGAAGCAGATGTTGTAGTGAGCTGAGATCGCGCCACTGCACTCCATCCAGCCTGGGTGACAGAGTGAGACTCCATCTCAAAAAAAAAAAAAAAAAGAAGATAAGTTTGCCAAGAGAACAATGCAGACAAACACAGACAGGGTAGAAATGCCAGACTCCTTCCCAGAATGACACATTGCCCAGGGTGGCCGACCATGACATACAGAAGGGGGAGGTGGCCAGGGGAGGAGGCTCTGTGTCACGTTTACTTCACCCTGAGGCCATCGAAGGATTTTAGGCAGGTACATATTTTAATACACAAACTGGACATATATATTTTAATACATGAATGCTCAGTCATACTGTGGGTGGTCTGAGGGGTAGAACAACCTGGCTGGAGGCCATTGCCATAGTCCTGGACCATCGCTAAGGACCTGGGCCAGCGCGATGGCTGCAGAGACAGCAATAATTAAGATGGAGAATGACAGCCTTTAGTGGATGGATTGCATCTCCTATGGCTAAGTTTATTCTTGCCTGCCTGCCACAGACGGAGGGTGTTTTCCTTACGCTGGGTTCCTCCCTCTCCTCCCTTCCTTGAAAGCGAAAAAAACCTCAAAACATCCTCCAGGAACTATTGTTAAGGATGAAAAAGGAAATGCATTTCCGGGTTTCATAAGAATGCTCATGTACACACAAGCGGTGTGCTGCACACGTGTGGGAAAGAAGGCATTTTTTAGTTTCAAATTTTCAACATATTTTAGAAGAGGCTCCCAGCTCTTCTTGCTTCCTTGTCCAGCTATCTGAAATACCAGAAGTGTTAGTCTTCACCTCCAAAAAGACGCACAAAAGCAAATTGACTCTGCTTTTCACAATAGGCTAAATTTTATTGTCTAAATTTTAGAGATGCTTCCTGTTAAGTTCTAGTTAAGAGTATAACATGGTTTGGATCTGTGTCCCTGCCCAAATCTCATGTCGAATTGTAACTCCCAGTGTTGGAGGTGGGTCCTGATGGGACGTGATTGGATCATGGGGGCAGTTTCTCATGAATGGTTTAGCACCATCTTCTGGTGCTATTCTTGTGATCGTGAGTGAGTTCTCACGAGATCTAGTTGTTTAAAGGTGTGTAGCACCTTTATCCTCTCTCTCTTCCTCCTGCTCTGGCCATGTGAAATGTCTCACTCCCCCTTTGCCTTCTGCAATGATTGGAAGCTTCCTGAAGCCTCCCCAGAAGCAGAAGATGCCATTCCTCCTGTATGTCCTCCAGAACCGTGGGCCAGTTACACCTCTTTTCTTTATAAATTACCCAGTCTCAGGTATTTCTTTATAGTGGACTAATGCAGAGTATCTTTATTATATTGAAAAGGCAAGCACAGAAAAATAATCAAAGACACGGGAAGATTCTTAGAAATTATTTAGAGCAATTAACTTGATTTCAGAAACAAACACAAACTCAAAGTGTTAATGGGCCGATATGTGTGGGGCCAGCCAGGGGTGGGCAGGCCTGGGATCCAGGTGTCTTCACGTCTTGTCCAAAACTCAATGAAACTTCATTATTCCTGTGACTTGACTCATTTGTAATAGTACAGATATCAGCCGGGCACAGTGGCTCACGCCTGTAATCCCAGCACTTTGGGAGGCCGAGGTAGGTGGATCACCTGAGGTCAGGAGTTCAAGACCAGCCTGGCCAACATGGCAAAACCCCATCTCCACTAAAAATACAAAATTAGCAGGGCGTGGTAGTGCGTTCCTATAATCTCAGCTACTCGGGAGGCTGAGGCAGGAGAATTCTTGAACCTGGGAGGTGGAGATCGCAGTGAGCCAAGATCACACCACTGCACTCTAGCCTGGGTGACAGAATGAGACTCTGTCTCAAAAAATAAAAAAATAAAAAAACAGATACGATGGGAATGGTTTTTCTCAAATGACCATGTTAACAGAGTCAAAATGAATGTGATCAAAATGCAGTAGCTGCTCATTATTCACCAATTCTGTATTTGTAAACCTCCCTATTTGCTAAAGCTTATTTGTAACCCCCAGACGTATTCAGGGTCCAGCTTTTCACGTTTTTAAGCATTCTGTTGGTGATTTTGCGATTTACTTATTTATTTTTAGAGACAGTCTTGCTGTGTCACCCTGGCTGGAGTGCAGTGGCTCCATCCCAGCTCATTGCAGCCTCCGCATCCTGGGTTCCAGCTCCCCTCGCCTCAGCCTCCAGAGTCACTGGGATTATAGGCGTGATTCCACCGTTTCAAATGACCACCAGCGTAGAGCTCTCTAATATTCCTAAGCAGGAGGAGGTTGTGATTGTGCCTTATGGAGAAAACACGTGTGTTCGATCAGCTTTGTTGGGGCATGAGTTATGGTGCTACGGGCTGTGAGTTCAATACTAATGAATCAACAATCTATGTATCAAATAAGATTTCTTTAAACAAAGACAACATAAAACAAAGGCATGTACTATTGATCAGCTCATGAAAACGCTGTGACCAGAGGCTCACAGGAACCCAGTTCTGCATTTCCCTTGTAGCAGTGGTTCAGCAGTATTTGCTCACTCCATGTTTGAGGTGGCTATGGACCATAACTACTGTGAACAATGAGAATTGACTGATGGCCTTTGTGCAGCTGTTCTCCTGAAACAGGCAGAGACAGCCTAAATGTCCCTCAGTGATTTCCAGTGACTTCTCAGCATGGATGATGGGAGTGTCAAATGCTTCCTTTATTTTAATTTATTTTATTATTTTTTGAGACAGGGTCTTGTTCTGTCGCCCAGGCTGGAGTGCAGTGGCACCATCTCAGCTCACTGCAGCCTCGACTCCAACGTTCCCTTGGATGTAACCTAGTAAAGGCCACCTGTCCTGTTGTGCAGGCCCTCCCGGGGTCCTGTCACAGGTCCACTGTCCTCCACTCTCTGCTGGAGCTCATAGTTAACACTGATGATGAGCCAAACTAAACCTCTAGCCCAGATCTCTCTCTTGAACCCCAAGTTCATTTCAAACTAAAGGCCGAAAATGCTCAACTTGGTGTCTCGGCGGCAATTTCAACTAAATATACCCTAAACTTAGCTTATAATCAATGACCCCGACACCCATTCCTCTCCTCCCATTTCCCCAGGCTCCATGCATCTTTGCCTAAGCCTGAAGCTTGGGAAGAGGGAGTCACAGAGGGAGGGAGGAAGGGAGGATACTTCTTTAATCCACGACGTCAGTGTAGTCAACTTTGGGAAAACGTGGTGTAGCCAGTTCCCCAACTCCACAGCTTGCCCCTGCCGGGACCACCTGCTCTACCACCAGCCAAAACCTGAGGTCCAACTCACATTCCTTCTATTTCATCCTTTTCCTTCCCTCTCTCCTGTCCATTCTCCACGACCTGTTTAATATCTCTCAGGTTTGTCCCCTTTTCTTAAGAACTCTCCTAGATGATCTCCATTGTATCTATAACAAATCCACTTTCCATAGCTCACAGAGCAGTGGCCTCAAACTTTCTAAATATTTTTATTCACAGCATCTGGTGGAGGGGGAGAGGGGTTTGCTTGTTAAAATGCAAATTCCCCTCCCCATATTGAATGGTGGAGTTCTGGGATCCGTATGTTTCTATTTTATTTCATTTTATTCTTGAAGCAGGGTCTTGTTCTGTTGCCCAGGCTGAGTGCAGTGGTGTGATCATGGCTCACTGCAGTCTCGAACTCCCAGACTCAAGCAATCCTTCCACCTCAGCCTCTTGAGTAGCTGGGACTAAAGGTGCACACCACGATGCCTGACCAATTATAACATTTTTTATAGAGATGCAGTCTCACTATGTTGCCCAGGCTGATTTCAGACTCCTGGCCTTACGTGATCCTCCCACCGGCCAATGCCCTCTGTGTTAGAGAAAGATGAGGAACGCCTTACCAGGTAACCGGATTGGCTTCCACGGGGCAGAGTTTGGCACGTAGGCATGCTTCGAGGCGGTGACGATCAACTGACTGCCCAGCTTATATTGGAACTTGATAAAGGCGACGCCATCGGTCCCCGAGGTGCCAGAGGCGATGGAGGCCTGGTTGGTGAAGATCTCGATGAGCGCGTCCGCTACTGGCTGGTGGGTGCTGGCGTCGCTGACGTGCACCTTTAGCGTCACCTCTGGAGGTAGAGAAAGCACAAAGAACAGCTGCTGTCAATGGGAAACATCCACAGCAACTCTGGTATGACTGTGACGGGAGCTGGAAGGAGGGCTCTGTAAGGACATCTAGGTTGACACTCAAAATATGCAGCTTTTACCAGGGACATTTTTTCCTTAGAGGTCTGCTTTTTACTTCACACAATTTCCTATTTTCTTCAAAACCACAGCCTGTCCCAAACTGCTTTCTTCTCTACTCCTTCCTGCTCACATGATCAAGAGAAAAATTCTATACCTCAAGACATTGGGCAACCAACGCAACACTTCGTGTGTGTGTGTGTGTGTGTGTGTGTGGAAACAGTTTCACTCTGTTGCACAGGCTGGAGTACAGGGGCGTGATCATGGCTCACTGCAGCCTTAACCTCCTGGGCTCAACTGATCCTCCCACCTCAGCCTCCTGAGTAGCTGGGACTACAAGTGTGTGCCACCACACTGGGCTAATTTTTGCAGAGATAGGGTTTTGCCATGTTGCACAGGCTGGTTTCAAACTCCTCAGGCTCAAGCGATCTGCCTGCCTCAGCCTCCCAGAGTGCTGAGGTTACAGGTGTGCCCTACTGTGTCTGGACAACAATATTCTTTCAATGTGGTTTGGGCTACCATAATAAGGGCACAGTGGGCTGTGGTATTTATAGGCGTATCCTTCTTTAGTCCTGGGAAATGTGGCAGAAGTAACCCAGGATTGTGCACCGGTAATCACAAAGACTAGACTGAAAGGAAGTGAAAACTACTGTTAAAAGGGAGGACCCAAAGAGTAGAACAAGAGAAGGTTAGAAAAGAATTAAAAAAAAAAAAAAAAAAAAAAGCAAACATTTGAAAAGACAGATGAAGTCAAGTTAGGAATACTGGCAAAAACAGATCATGAAAGTGGGAAACAAACAGAATGTTACAAATTGCTAAAAAATTAAAATAGAATGGCTAACTTACATTTACTCAGGCAAGGGATAGTTATTGAACGTTTACTCTGTGCCTAGAATTGTAACTACACAGCTACAGTGAAGGAGAGGACGCCTGAGTAAACAGGGAAGTACCATGGCTGAGGGGGAACAGCACGCATGGAGGCTCAGAGGCAGGAAGACGCCATGTTTCCTGGAGAAACAATGGCAGGTTCTGAAATCTGGATGGAGAGCATGAGAGGCGTAGGAGGCTGCAGAGGCAATTAAGGCCAGATCACGCATGGCTTTATGAGCTCCCTAAAAGGATTATTATTAGTTCTAAAGGCAATGTGAAGTCACAAAAGTTTTAAGAGGGGAGTGGAGATCAAATTTATGTTATAGAAACATGTGGCTCTGGGTGAAGAATGGGCTGAGGAAGAGGTAAGGCTGGAGAATAAGCATTCAATTAAGAGGACTCTGTGATAACCCAGGACTGAGACGGTGGTAGACTAGACTCCGGCAGAACAATCACGTCAAGGGTGCTGATTCCAGAACTATGTGGGGGAGCAACTCCGATGTTCATCCTGCTCCCATAAACCCTATTTGCTTACGTAGGAAGAGAGCAGCTGGTGCCTGGTGATGTATGTCCACCTGGCCACTTGCAGGCACCACGTGCCATGCTTTTTGAGCTGTCTCTGGTCTGAAAGACTTGGGATAGGAAGGTGGGGCAAGGACTAGCAAAGAGAAGGTGGCCAAGGAGGCTCGTGTTCATAGCACTTTCCAGAGTGGGGCTCAGTGGAGTGCTCATCAATGAACTGGCTGCAGGCTGGCTGGGTACAGAGCAGCCTGAGAGCGAGGATGAGGAAGGAGGGCTGAGTCATCCTTGCAGGTATTGCCCAGCGGCACATACTCTGGAGTTCTGCAATTCTCACCGGAGGTTTGAATCTCAGCTCCACTGTGTGTCAACCATGTAGCCTTAGGCAGTTTATTTATTGTCTCTAGGCCTCAGTTTTCCCATTTGCAAACTGGGAATGATAAACACGCATAGCTCAACATATAGGTAGAAACATTTAGTGTAATGCCTGGTGGAGTAAGCACCGACACAAGCTACTGCAATTGCGTCATTCCAATCATGATGATTGTAAACTTTCTAACACGGTGCTTGTGGATACCAGATTTGGGGTTCAGAGAGGAGAGTTAGAAAGAAGAAACATAAAAAACAAAAGGGACAGGTGAGACAGCCCTCTCAGAGAGTATTCATACCTTTTTTTGTTTGTTTGTTTAGATGGCGTTTCACTCGTCACCAAGGCTGGAGTGCAATGGCGTGATCTCAGCTCACTGTAACCTCTGCCTCCCGGGTTCAAGCAATTCTCCTGCCTCAGCCTCCCAAGTAGCTGGGATTACAGGCACCTACCACCATGCCCCACTAATTTTTTGTACTTTTAGTAGAGACAGGGTTTCACCATGTTGGCGAGGCTGCTCTTGAACTCCTGACGTCAGGTGATCCACCTGCCTCGGGCTCCCAAAGTGCTGGGATTACAGACGTGAGCCACCACACCTGGCCTGAGTATTGATACCTTTATATCCAGAGTTCTATCCTACACTGGGGCAACCACATTGAGAAGAACTTCTTTTGGTTTGAGAATCTCCACCTTGGTAACTTGCCAACTAGCTGTCTCATGATACTAAAGCAAATTCGTACTTCAATACTGCAAATTTCAGTCACTCATTTTTCACCCATTTTTTCCACATGCTGATTTAATACATTTCTTGTGTAGATAACCATAGACAAGAGCTAAAGAATCCCAGACCTAGCCAAAGCATCTTCCTGCCTTTGAGGAGCTTTGAGCTACGGGTGTGTACCAAATAAATCTCTTAAAATATTTTAGAAAGAACAAATAAATGCTACAGAAACCAACCTTGGCTACTTCATACTATAGGAGAAAACTAGTACCCAAAAAGGCACAAGTCAGCATCATGAAAATCAAGGATATGATATTACAGAATACATTTAGTCAATTCTCCCCAATCCAGTTGGGATGTGCACGACACACACACACACATTTTCTTCTTTCTTTTCTTTTCTATTTTTTTTTTTTTTTGAGACAGAGTTTCGCCCTGTCCCTAGGCTGGAGTGCAGTGGCGCGATCTTGGCTTACTGCAACCTTTGCCTCCCAGGTTCAAGCTATTCTCCTGCCTCAGCCACCTGAGTAGCTGGGACCACAAGCGTCCGCCAGCACACCCACCTAATTTTTGTATTTTTAGTAGAGATGGGGTTTCACCATGTTGGCTAGGATAGTCTCAATCTCTTGACCTTGCGATCTACCTGCCTTGGTCTCCCCAAATGCTAGGATTACAGGTGTGAGCCAGCGCACCCGGTTCCCCCACACACATTTTCTTATTTAATTTGGTCCTCTGTGTCCCCAAGTAGTATACTATTCCTTTTTTAAATTTTAAATTTTTATTTATTTCCATAGGTTTTAGGGGAACAGGTGGTGTTTGGTTACATGAGTAAGTTCTTTAGTGATGATTTCTGAGATTTTGGTGCACCCATCACCCAAGTAGTGTACACTGTACCCAGTGTGTAGTCTTTTATCCCTCACCCTCTTCCACCCTTTTCCCTGAGTCCCCAAAGTCCACTGTATCATTTTCATGCCTTTGCATCCTCATAACTTAGCTCCCACTCATGAGTGGGAACATACGATGTTTGGTTTTCCATTCCTGAGTTACTTCACTTAGAATAATGGTCTCCAATTCCATCCAGGTTGCTGCAAATGTAATTATTTCACTCCTTTTATGGCTGATTAGTATTCTGCAGTATATATATACCACATTTTCTTTATCCACTCATTGACTGATGGGCATTTGGGCTGGTTCCATATTTTTTGCAATTGCAAACTGTGCTGCTATAAACATGCATGTGCAAGCATCTTTTTTCACATAATAACTTTTTTTGTTCTGGGTAGATACCACTAGTGGGACTGGTGGATAAAATGATGGTCCCTTTTTTTTTCATAGGTTTTTGGGGAGCAGGTGGTCTTTGGTTACATAAGCAAGTTCTTTAGTGGTGATTTGTGAGATTTTGGTGCACCTATCACCCGAGCAGTATACACTGAACCCAGTGTGTAGTCTTTACCTAAGTAGTATACTAAATTATAACATAAATTAACTCATGGTGCATTAATAACCACATAGCAGAAATCCTGCATTGATGATTTATGCAATTTTATGGAAATGCAACATTTACTAACAATTGGGATTACAAGGTCTTCACTGTTTGCTGAGAAGGCAAAAACTGCTGAGATTTGAGGGAAAAAAATATGAATAAACAAAGAAAGGGGGAGTTCCACTCTAATCAATGCTCTAGATTCTACCACTTGAATTTCTTCTAATATGGGAAGCATAGTTTAAGTTCTACAATTATATACTTTAAAAGAGAGTGTTTAGTTCTTTGCTTGGTATGATCAGAGAGGACCAAATGTCAGTATGATTCGGTAATTCTTACAGCCCACAGGGGCATCATTGTTATAGAATAACACTGAGAATGGGACTCTCCGTTCAACAGCAAACAAAACTACCCCTAACTAAATGACAACCAGGGCAGCTGTCATCTGACTGGGCGAGGCATTAGTTGCTACATGACTCTCATTTATAGGAAGACCCCATAAATGGTCCCAGACCTAAATATGCCTTAGGATGCACTCTTTGCTGCTCAGTGAGTGCTGAGGACCCTGCTGAGTTGGTCACCTGAAGACTGCACTAAACCCAGACTGGGACATCCTTTTCTCACTCTATACCCTGCACATCCATCACCAAAGTCTGCTCATTTTGACTGCAAACTCTGCATCTCAAAGCAGGCCTTTCTTTTGTACCCTTGTGAACACTGCCCTATTTCCAGGCCTTCACCATCCATCACCCACACTGCTGCTCAGCCACTTTACAAAAACGGTCACCCTCTTCAGACCTGAGCCCTGAGATCCCACTGAGGCCAGAGGGAGCTATCCAATACACTCAGCTGACCTCTCCCTGTCTCCCTCAAACCCTTTGATGCGCCCCACTGTCACCTGTACCGGGGTAGCAAATTCAGCCCGGC